GTGTGCTGTGTCTCTGTTGTATGGGTTACATTAGATTATTTTCTGGAATGCCTTCTGGAAAATAAATGTTACCTAGTCTCAGAGATGAGGGCCAGATAATTAAACAGAACTAATCAAATGAGAGACTCAGATTGTTCTACCCTGTTGAATACCCTTCCATGGCTCCTGTGCCTCAGGAGAAAGACTAACCCTTCAGTCTGGCTTTGTGGCTACTTGACCCAACACCAGGCCCCCCAACCACCCTCTTCACTCCCCCACCAATATCCATTCCAAAAACACGCCATGTCATTTCCTGCCTCCTTGGCCTTGCACCACTGTTCCTTCTGCTTTGAATAGCAGAGGTCACCCACATCCACCTCGTTTACCTGAAAAATTGGCAATCACCCCCAGTTCCAGCCACATCCTATCCTCTTGATGTGACCTTCTCAGGTAGAGCCAAGGAGCCCTTCTATAAAATAGCAGGTTTATTCCCACCACAGGGCCTTTGCACAGGCTGTTTCCTCTTCCTATTAATGACCTTTTTCTCTTCTGCTAATACAGTGGTTGGCAAACTCATTAGTCAACAGAGCCTAATATCAACAGTATAACGATTGAAATTTCTTTTGAGAGCCAAATTTTTTAAACTTAAACTATATAGGTAGGTACATTGTTATTAACATAATTAGGGTATTCCTAAGCTGGCCTTGGCTAAAAATGTCCTCAGTCTGATTGAGGTACATTAACTGAGGTTGACCCCTTCCTACTCTCCCATCCACACTCGCCTTGTATACTTTTTTCATCTATCTCCTTTCCGAAAACCGACTTCTGCGCATGGGCCAAGATGTTTCAATCGCACTGTACATGTGCGCCCCCATGTAGTATTTTGTGGAAGAGCCACACTCAAGGGGCCAAAGAGCTGCATGTGGTTCGTGAGCCCCGGTTTGCTGAAAACTGCCCTAATAGACTGCAGCTAATCTTTAAAGTTACCACCTCTGTGAAGCCCTTCTTGACACCCCCCTGCAGGACATTAGTATCTTCCTCCTCAGACCTCCCTTAGACCCCTCTCACTGCAGCCCTGTGACCATCTGCATCAGTAATTTCTCCCCTCCTTGTCCTGGAGGCCCTTTAGGGCAGGGTTAGGGTGTCAGTCCTCTGGAGTCACCACCAGAGACAGTGGAGTCCTGTACAGCTCACTTCACATCCTGAGCCAGCCCT